GTTGCATAATAATAATAATAATAATAATAATAATAATAAGGAAAGTCAATTAACAAACAGCAAAAAACACAATTAATCTCTAATGAAGGCAGGCTTCTATTTTTTCTCAATAGAAAATAAACCGAAAGTTTCAGTTGAGATGTCAGAGCCTTCCTTGAGAACTTTGTAGCTATAACCATTGTGGAGAAATTAATTTTAGAGAGGATTGTTTTAAAGTTATTTTATGGCTTGCTCAGAATATGTAAATACTTTAGTGTGCATAGTCTAGACAAGGTTTACCCTAACCACCTTAGTACCAGAGCATTTTTTAAATGTTTGCACACCCATGATAAAATCTGAATTTTAGTATAGTAAATTACTTAAAGACCATTTCTACCTTTGTAAGTTATTAGCATTTATTGTGGTAATGTAGAGGAGCAGTGATAATGTATATGTGGACATTTTCATGACTCACATTGCTGGCTAGCTTATTTTTTTTAGACTTTTTAGTACATCTACAAATTAAAAAATGTCTCCACAGGAAACGTGAGCACAGTGCTCCAAGATTCATTAATCATAGAGCAGATCTGGGATCCAGTGTTCCCTGGTCTGCTCCAACTCTCCATCCTGACACTGTCTGCTGTGGTTCCAGGCCCCTCCAGATCAGCGGGGAACACCAAAAGCCACAGCAGGGGTACAGGGGGGCAGCACATTAGCATGCTGCTACAATTGATCTGGGCAGCTGTACATTTGCCCAGCTAATTTGTAATTAACAAGCATCACCTGCTGAAAAAGAAAATACCAAGATCATGGTTGTGGCAGCAGTCATGATCTTGGTACAACCACTTCAAGACTGGTGTTTTGAGTAGGGATGCACCAATAAAAAAAAATTTGGGTATTGAGTATGAGTACCAATATTTTGTCCGGTACTCACCGATACCAAATACTGATAGTCCCATTAAGGAAGTCGGGTGGTGTGTAATGACTCTCTGCCCAGCTTCCAGATTAGCCAGGAAGCTGGCTCCTTGCTGTCTCATCACCAAGTGACAAGAAAGCATGGAGCCAGCATTATGGCCAATCAGGAAGCTGGGTAGCGAGTCACTACACACCGCCCATCTTCCTGATTGGCCGGGAAGCCGGCTCCATGCTCTCTCATCACCAAGTGACGAGGGAGCATGAAGCCGGGGGGAGTCATTACCCACCCCCCAGCTTCCTGATTGGCTGGGAAGCTGGCTCCATGCTCCCAGGTGACAAGGGAGCATGGACCCATGCATGTATAGTAGCCATGAAATGTCTGGACTGTCGCATGCATGGTAGTCCATTAGATTTCTGGACTTGGAGCCGCTGATCTGCAGTGCGCTTCCACATTGGTCCGTGGGATTTCTGTACCTGGAGCCAATGGCCAAGCCCTTCACATGCCCCTGCCAAGTCCAGAAAAGTAACAGGTCCGGAGAAGTGATAGGACCCCAGCTTCCCAGCCAATCAGGAAGTCGGGTGGCATGTAATGAGGAAGCTTGGCTTCCTGATACCGGAAATTCCAGTATCGGAATAAGTTTCTGGAGTATTTGGGTGAGTATGAGTACTCTAGTATCGTGATCGGTGCATCCTTAGTTAGTAGTCTGACATGATTGGCTGAACTTGTTAAGGATTAGTTCTAGCTATATGCTAATCAAATTAACTCTTAAACCTTGTTTTATTTCTAAAAGTGATAAGTATAGCTAAATAGCTCTTTAAAACACATATCATACTTTCAATATCAGTGTAGAAGAACGGAAGCTGCTTCAAAATATTCTTTAAATTCTCTGTGTTTTGTTTTGACAGATTTTAAATATATACAGATTCAGGAACACAATGCCCTTTATTATTTTGTGGGAATATGTAGCATAAATATGTTATAGACCCAGGTACACAGGTATTATTGTGTAATATGTATGTTTAGTTTGTCAATAATATAAGGGTTTGGAAGATTTTTATGAAATTCCAGAATGCAATGCAAGAAATTATTGCTGGATATGAGGCAATCATAGATTAACACAGTGCTTTAGGTCTAATTTATTTTTTTTAAATCAGCTTCCAGAAGAAATCAATTCAGCCAGTGTTGTTCCATCTTATGCTTTAGCCCCAATTATAAAACACCAATTGTTTGCTTGTGTATAACTGGAAAAGTGCAGTGAATGATATCTCTACCTGTGCATTATATGGTTCATGGCACATTTGCAGTCATATTAGGAGAAAATAAAAAACTATCCTGATATTTACCTGATTTAAATAGGCTGTAGTCTTTTTAAAGTATTTTAGATATCCACATAAGATTAATGTGATCTTGATGTAGGCGTATTTCAATATCTCTTTGTATTTCAATATCTCTCTCTTACTAACTACAAAGTTGAAAACTTTGTAGTTAGTAACTATGCAGTATATGTATGTTATACCATTATGTTGCAGTTGTGCCTACATTATATGTGCCTTGCCGATCCTCTAAATTCATTACAAGTTTACTAGATAAAGTCTATCTTTTTGAACACTTCAATGACATGAAATGCCCAAAAAGCCTCTAGAAGCCAGAGTCCATATGATACAGGTTGTCTAAGAAAGGAGTTTATTAGCTGTAGTTTTCCTTTTTTTTCTAGTTTTATTCATAGAGGTAAAACAATGGTAGAATAATATTGCTATTTGCTAATGTAGCCATGTCCGCACTGATTTATGAGAATTGTAAATATCAGTGATACATTTTTCTTTATAGCAAACTTATTTAAATACTTTATACTTAATTACATTACTTAGTTCACAGTATTTTTTCAGGACAGGAAGTAAACGGAAATGACCCAAAATTGACAGATTCTGAACTTTCACAATTATTTAGAACTACATTAAGCTTTCAGTGTGTTTTTACATTTTCTTCTTTATAAGTGCCATACTTGCTAAAAAAAGTTATTTTATTATTATTTTTTAAATTTTCTCGTTCTCTAGTGGTATCAAGACTGCTAACGCCACTGCCCCTGTACATGTGCCTCCATCAGCTAGCCAACTGCTGTGAAGGCACCCATACAGGCCCAGTCACAGACATGGCCACACCCAGCTGTGTGTGTCCATAAACACGCCCCCACCCTTGCAGTCACAG